CAGAAAATGAAAAATTTGAGGACCTAAAATCAGGAAAGTGCGCGCTACCCTCACGCATATCCAGTGTAAATGAAAACAACACATTAAAAATACCAGAGCTCATTAACCTATGCATCATTGCTGCTACGTCATGTTGATTTTGTAGATCTACTGTAGAGAACCCTGTAAGCTTTAATGCGAAGCCCGGGGCCGCTTCGTATGAACAGCGCTGTATAGCGGCGCCTTCCGATAAGTGCCGCGTGTTCGGTGGCCGTATTTGGAGAAGCGTGCGGAGGTAGACAACAGCGTCAATTCAGGCACTCTGATTGGCGCATTTTTATTGACCTTACATCACCTGGTATTGGGGGGTAAAAAGAGAAGGAGCGAGGTGAGGCTTAGTTAAACACACCTCAGTGGTATGCTGGCTACCTTTTACTCGGCTCCTCGATTGGCTTGCCCGAAAGAGCGTAAGTAAATCTAGGAGCCGGAAAAATGTCATCACTGAGCCGCGTTTACATAAACATCTCTAGCCAAATTTTCTCTTCTTCCCCATCCTCCCCGCTAAACCAGGTGATGTGAAGCACATGAAAACGTGCCGTCACATTGAGTGTGCCGGAATTCACCGTGGAGGCTCATCCCAGAAGCTTTTCGGAAAAAAAGTTCAGGGTGCGCCGGAAACCGTGCTTCCGCACTCAACTTCTCCGTAGCCTCTTAAGATTCTGGTACCAAGAGCGCCGTTTATGTGACCTAGGCGGTACGGTGTGGTATGCCCGCTTCTATGTACAGTGGCCCAATGTTTTAATAATATCAAGGGAGCCTCGACCGCCGGGACTGCAGCGCCATGCCGCGGAGGTGTGCGGCGATACGGGAGAGATTAAGCGCGTGCGCATGGAGCCCTTTACGGTCGGAGTGTCGTCTGCTAGGCAATTCCGTTGATCGTACACTTCCCCGGCTCCGTAGCAAAGGAGGGCAGGGCGCTTCAATGTCGGAGTGCATCGCCGATACGCCCCTCCTCTTGGAATGCGTTCACAAGCCTATATATTGATGTTAGCCTGTGTAACCCCGACTGTTCTTGCTATATCCCTTTGCGTCATGCCGCCCATCGACATTCTCACAGCATGTTCCCGTGTTTCTATGGGCACTCGTGGCGGCATAGAAATGTGTGCGCGCGTGTTGGTCAAAGTAAAGTGCGACTACCCGGCTACATAAACTAGATGACGACAGCAACAACGCAGTTGATAATGCAAAACACCAAGCGGAAACCCTGTCTATAGTCCGTTTCACTTTGTGCTGCACCGCAGCCGACGCTACGAGCCATCTTGGCCAGTCCATCGTTAAAAGTGTGTCTCGTGACTTTCCCGTTGGGTACAACCGCATGCAACCGCGCGTGGAAGCACGATGTCACGCGGCAGGGTGAAAGCACTGGATTGGTTTTGATGGCTCGTAGCACTGGCTGCGGTATATAGTTTAATGCATCGTTGCATTCAGTTTGTCGCGTCACCATATTTTTTTTTTAAATTTTTGTTGGTGTTCCCAAGAGTAAACGCAAACATGAAAAGAAAAAAATAAGTAAATTAAACTCGAGATGACGCGCGGTTTACGTCACGCCAGAGCAGTATCACGTAAGTGTTCAGATCTTTGCTTAAAGGCGGTTAGCTATGCCAGCAGATAATAAACAGGGGCTGTGTGTGGTCAACGGAATAGCCTAGCAGACGACGCTCACAACGGAAAGAGCTTCGTGCGCACGCGCCTAATTGCTCCCGTGACGCCACATTCTTCCGCGGCACAGCGCTGGCCGTCCCGGCGGTCGACGCTCGCTTGATATTCTTAAAACATTGGGCCTACATAAGGATGCGGCACTTTATAAGTTCTAATTGAGCCTGCAGGTGCATTTTTTGCTACGGTTCCTCTCTCGTAAAGGATTATCGATGATTCACTACGACACTAAATAAGCTGCATTGTTATGAAAATAAAAAAAATACAACAGATATTCTGTGCTGTAAAGTAAAATATGATAAAATACACTGCTTCTACTGGATGCAATTTCAAGTTTTCTTCTCGTTTATGTTGAGGTACCCGTGGGTTCCACTAGGTACCTATAGGTACTTCTTTCTAGCTTTTCCGAACGTCAAGACTCATATTCAGAAAATGAAATTCCCGCTGCCTAATTCAGTCTGAAAGAGGAACAAAGCAAAAGCGTCGTGGAAAATTCCTTTCAGTGTAAGTGCACTGCATAGATCGATAGAGCACACGCGTGCCATTACTTTCAGCTCTCTAATGTACTTCTCTGTCGAGTAATGCTATACGTGGGACGGTTGCCTCGCGGAAAGCAGCCTAGTCGGAGTCTCCGGATCTAATAAAGCGTGAATTAGAGATCACCGGTTCTTGTACCATTCGTTCACTATTCCTACACTCTCGCAAGGTTAAAGGACTGCTGGGATTGCTGCTGCTGTCCGCCGCGAATATACTTCTTTCGGCTTTCCTCCAATATGTTCTCGCTTGGGCACCGTCTGGACTACTCAGGACAAGCGCGTCTTGACTGCCGGCGGATATAATGGAGTTTTCCACCGGAAGAAGGCGTCATTGCTTTATGCTTTTCGCTAGACTGCTCCCTAAGAGATAGTTTTGGTACCTACATTTTGGGGGCAGGATAAAAACTACTTTGTCTGTGAGGGCTATGATTTACGAGATCTGTTTCACCAGGAGAATTACTTAAATTAAGTGTGCAGCCGGCTGCGAGAAACATTTAATCGTGTCTTATTCATTCGTGTCTTATCGTTTTCGTGACAATGCTTAATAGTTGTTTTAACCCTGTGAAGGATTCCATGAATTAATAAATTGTGACTGTGGCAAGTCAGGAATCTCACGTGCAATGTTTGGAGAATATCTTCTTTTTCACGTCGACAAAATTGAACATGGGGGAAATATCACCAAGAGTATATTATAGCTATTTTTATTTTATATTTTAATAGTTGTCTTAAAATGAAGATGCATCTCAATAAATATGTAAATAAACATAATACTGATAATTATTACTAAAATTTGCTTCGCCAAATATACTTATATGCAAAACTCGTGTCTGTACTGTATCTCAAATTCTCGACAATATTGCGAAGCGCTGTTCATTTCCTTTGCAATTTTCTACTGTCTAAAATGCATTGCAACCTCAGGCAGCTCAGTAAGAAAGGCATATAGAATTTGTATCGAATGCACCACGTTACTTAACTCAATTAATTAGCCGCGCACCTCACCTTTTAGGACGTAGAGAACAGAAAGCTATCACAGCTCAAGCCGTAGGTGTAGAAGGCTGACACTAGCGGTGTCAGCCTTCTACTGCCGCTTCACGTTATTTAACGGTAAGCACATTACAGGATAGACCGGCACCTGTATTTCAATGTGTGTATTGTATACACCCACTGTTGGCCTTTCGTTATCACTACGGTCTTAATCAAGACTAGCTAAAACTTTAGGAGGCCATTAAGATTCTTCAACTTTTAGGAACAAACGTAACGCCATCTTCACAGTATAGTCATCCAGACTGGCTGCCAAGTCAATCTGCTGTCCCATCGAGAGCAGATATAATAAATATCAATAAATAGCACGCCAACTATGTACTCCTCCTGCTCAAAACAAGCTCTTTGCTCACAGCCTGCGTGATATTGGAGGACCTATTCACTCGTCCGAGACCGTTACTACGGCAACTGTCATCCCGTCTTTTCGGAACATAGTATCTCCATTAAAGAGCGGGCTCACGTGGCCATTACCGCGGAATACCTGACACTGCAGAAGTTTATTTTTTCCACGGAGAAAAAAAATATATGCACATTTTATTTTTGCTTTATTACTTGTCTTCGTCGGGGCTCATCAGCAAGCCTTGCGGAATGGAACGCGTGCTTTTGTCACTCGAATACGTTATGGTTATGTTAGACAGCAGTCACCAACGTTGAATGGAGTGATGCTATCTAATTTAGATGTTCTTTGACGCTTCATGTGGTTGCTATTTTAAACCTCTAGGCCTCCAGGGGAAAGTTTAAAGCGAAGAAATAGTGCAGCCGGTAGGAATGCGACAGACAAAAATCACAACTAAAGTATCATAGAAGCCGTTGAGGCATACACATATTTTGTGATCTCTTAGATTGCTTAGCAGTCACTAGAAATCTGATTGTTCTGTTGATGTTACCTGTCTCATTTTTGAGTTGCAAAAGCTTGATGTAGGAGGTTTTCTTAATTACTTCAAAATTGTGTTCTTATTGTCAGGTAAAGTACAAAACATAAATTATAGAGAAAAAGCTCTTCCTTCCGACATTTTTGAGGAGTACGTTGATATAAAACATAGTATGACCACTAGTTTTTAATGTAATTATTTTTTTTACTCCCAGTTTAAGATAAAATGTGTCGAGGATGCGACCGCAGACTTCCCATTGTATTTTTCCGATTTTAGAGTGTGCCTCCATGAAATAGACAGCGATGCTTATAAAAGTGCGAACGCCCTGCCCTCTCTTTTAGGTACATTCTGTATGCACGGTATGAAGATATGATGAAAATTATGAGAAATATATTCGCATTATTTCAGACAAAAGAATAGATGTCTAAAATTGATTAATATAAGAAACTTCGACTATAACCATAAACAGCTTGGTTCAATTGTAAAATTAATTCACATGCTTCACTCAGTCAGAATGTTCAACTTAGATGAATCGACTTGACAAGTGTTTGAGCTTTTTTGGAATTAACACCGAAATAAACAATCAATAAACATCTGCTGCGAATCTAATGCATTTTTATTGAAAAAAAATAAATCGAGGGTAAATCTAAAAGAAAAAAATATTAATAACGTTTCAAGCATCTGGATACAATTTCACCGTGCCTATTTGCCAAAAATAAGATACATAAATAAAAAGTATATGTAAAGCAACTTTATGTAAAAAGTTAAAAAAATAAAGCAATTGTTTCCGTTAATAGTCGTCTTATTACCTTTTATTAAGTGAATTCTAATTCAAGACTGTTTTCTTTTTGTGCAGAGTATCCGGAGCGTAGTGCGTTAGTTGGCGGCTCCGCTTCCCTGCCGTGCAACATCACGCCGCCCACACTGGACGACGCCGTGGCTCTAGTGCTTTGGTACCGGGGCGACTCTGGCACGCCCATCTTTAGTCTAGATGCCCGCAACACTCCACCGGATGCCGAACGCACATTTGTCGACGACACCTTGGGATCACGAGCCTTTTTCAACCGGTCCGGTGCCATGGCGACGCTACAACTTCAGCCGGTCAAAGACGTGGACGACGGCGAGTATCGCTGCAGGGTGGACTACAAGCGCTCGAGGACTCAGAACAGGATAGTGCGTCTCAATGTCGTTGGTGAGTACATCCTGATTTTTATTCACAATGAGGCACAAATAGTTCTCGGGAGCGTGGAAAAACATAATGGTAGCCTAAAACATCAAACTATTAATAATGCAGGCCCCACCTCCAACTATCTGGAATAGTGAAGGTCGTCTGAAACATTGCACGAAATTCGTCAGATGGTGATTATATTGAAAATGTGACTTTTTCACATAGCTTCTACATAAAGCAGTTGGCGATTTCGCATACTGAATTACTAATATGAAAGGCTTGCCTTAGATAGCTTTGTTTGTGATTAAGTAGGCAGAATCTGGAATCTTTGATATTTTGTAGGTGGAGCTAAAAACTTTTAAATCGCGGCAAATATCCCCAAAATACCTATAATTTCGCTTGAATCTTTGTCATCCCAAATTAAATGTGTTTTTTTTCTTTTTTTTTTAAATATAATGTAGGGTGCTGTCTTTAAATTTATATTCATGCTGTGCAACGGCAAGAAAGCCTCGATACACCGAATTTCTTGGTTTGTTTTTGTTTTTGCAGTTCCTCCCACAGAAGTTGTGATCACCAATCGAACCGGGGAACCGCTACGGAACCGGCCAATCATCGGGCCCTTCAACGAAGGTTCGTCCCTAACACTCGTCTGCAAGGCTCTCGGTGGTAAGTCGATCTGCGTTCCTTGAACCTCTAGAGACTTGCTCTCTGATAATAAAGTTACGATCATCTACAATCTGCACTAAATTTACTTGCATCACGAAACACGGGTAATCATGCCTGTTAGCGACCATATCGGCAAATCAAAGTTGTTTTTATTTATTTACAAATACTGCTGATCCCTATCAGGGATCGTAGCAGGGTGAAAAGTAACATAAAACGAAGGATAAAGTACCTAAGACTACCTAAGAACCTAAGAGGTTTCTACGCTCTTAGAAAGAAAGGCAGCAAAAAGATAGTAACTGAGGCAGTTAACACCTTTCAATCACCATTACTACGTTAGTACTCGCAGTTTACCACGTCAAATATGCCACAGGCAGCATATATGGATTTTACTAGCCAAGTAGTTGAATAGTAGTCTTTATGTATTCGTGGACACCGTTCTGTGGCTCTGCAGTCAAAGCTATGGGCGCATGAGCGCTCGATCACTTTGAACATCGATGAAATTTGCTTGCGAGCGCTCTTCACTTCTAAATTATCAGAGGAAGTTGTCTGCGAGTATCGTGTTGCTGCCGAGCTATGCAAAGAAGCAAAAGCCTGGGCTAGGAGGCGCTAAAGAGCAAATAATTATATCAAGTGTGGAAAATAATTCCAACGTGAATGTTATTTTTACTAGCATTCTTAGTAACTGTTACGGACATGCTCGCTATTACCTGTGGTTACTAAGAAGTTTGAAGCCATGCTTCTTAGTAACCTGTGGTTACTAAGAAGAGAATCAGTTACGAACCTATAATTAGTAGGTACTACGAATTTTTTCTCAGAGTGTATATTTGTTCTGAAGCATGGCTCAACAGAAATACGCCCGCTTTACTGAATACAATTCCTGTTTTTTTTTTGTGTGTGTTTCTTAAACTTTGTTTTTGTACTTCTCATGAACTCGACGCCGTAAAGAGACACGCTAGTAGCAGACGATTCGTAGAAACATCTCTATTTCATAGATAGAAGGCCCTCCAGACAAAGAAAAAAATTTTTTCCGATTATCACAACGGAGTTTCCTCACTTAGGAAAGGATTAAATGTCAATCAATCTTGAGGTCACCTGTGCCGCGTCATGGATGTTCGCTAATCACACATGCCCGGGTATAGCCACGGGGAATCTGCGACCGCTCTACAGACTATCCATCGTCCTGTCGGAGGCAGAGATCCCGGTTCTCTTGCGAAGGGATTACGCGTAGCAGCAGTGAGCTGGGGGTGCCTTTTTTTTTCCTTCACCGTTCGTTTAAAGCGATACTTCAACAAAATTTGAAATATACCCGTCGTGTTCAGAAATAGATTGAATATGATCCACAATATTCATAAACGGCAATCGGACGTTTGTATTTTGAGCCTGGTGGCTCGATTTATCGTTATAAACGTTATCGTTATAACTCTGTGTCGGGATGAGCAAAGCTACGGCGAAGCTGACGCCGTCAGGATGCCCTAGTGGTTCAAGTTACCGGAGCGACCGAAGCACTGCAGCGATCGGGCCACCGCAACTTACCGCAAAGCTGCTTTTGTGGGAATTTCGAGTGACGGGGAGCGACGTCAGGGACACACAAAACAAAGTACCGTTCAGTGGGAAGTTCCTTCTTCCCCTCTTCTCTTGTACTGGCTGTAAAGATGACGTCAGGCTGAAAGCATGTATAGTTCTAGGCGAGACAGTTATCGTCGCTGCCTCTCAAGGTTCCTAGACGGAGATTACAAACAATGCCTTAGAGACATCCACCAGGTGCTCTTTGCTAATCGTCTAATTTGTTTTAAAATTCCTTTTAGTGTCTTTTTTAACAAGATATTGGTGTGTACAATGTGATACTGCTCCTTTGAACACGTATAGACTAAAAATAAACGTCCAAATTTTGTTGTAGTACCCTTTTGAGAAGCCTTTGAATGACATATACGCGTTCACGAAAACAATGATTCTGCTAACTCAGCTGCATGCGACTGTGTAGTGTGAGGGGTCTCTCGGATTTGTTTTTTAACCGCCTCCTTAGTTTAATGGGCTTCTCCTCTTCGCAGCTCTATCACGTACTCTGTTTTCAGCACAGCCAAATATTTGCCGTGTGAATGCAGAATACATCTCATAAAATAAAAATTTGACTGCTTAACAACATTTTTGCATGGACAATCCTTCCATTAAGATTTACACTGTCCCGAACGTGATTTAAACAGCAGCTGCCTGAGAAGCTCGCCGCGATAGTCGTCGACGGAAACGCATGATCGCGCAACTTTTCATAAGAGCAGCTTGCAGCGGTTCCGGTCGGTGTGTTTTCGCAGGACGTCCGGCTCCGCACGTGACCTGGTGGCTGGGCGCCGAACTCGTGGATGATTCGTACTCGTCCATGGGCGAAGGGGTGGTGCGCAACGACCTGGTCATCGGCAAGCTTCAGCGATCCGACCTCATGGCCACGTACCGTTGCCAGGCATCCAACAACAACGAAACCGTGCCCGTCTCTACGTCCGTCTCGCTCGACCTCAACCGTGAGTGGCTAGTCTCTCGCCAGATTATTGCGGCGGTGGGGTTTCGTCGCACTCCGCTGGTTTTCTGATTAGTGGTCCGTTACCTTAACAAAACGTATATAGTCGTGTTCTGTCAAATCCCTTCGCGATGTATTATTGCCGGAATCGAATTTTTCGCATATATAATGATATACCCGCAGCTTCAAATTTCAACCATATGGAGGAAAAACAAAGCGGCACAAATGAGAGGTTGGAGGGCACGCCATAACCTTACCTTGCGGGTGCTTAAAGTTCTGAATGACCGGACTGATGCTGCTAGACCCCAATCTACACTCTACTTTTGGTTTGTGGGCAACACTAATAATACAAATGTTTATTGGCTCTGGTTAGTACAACTATGTTACGCCAGTGAACCTTTTGACAGAATGCATGGTACCTAGCATGTTTGAACTGAATACAATTTATTCGGAAGCCAGCTAACGAAAAGAGTGTCAAGACACGCCATTTCATCCATGAAATTGTTTTGTGATGCTCTGCCAATAGTAAAATGAGGCTCCACAGCATTCCTTTCACGCCATTAAACTGTTTGTAATCACTGGCGAACATTTTCTATTGCCCAACCTGAACCTTTGTATTACAGTGGTATGATAGTTTAAAGTCTTGTTAATATAGACTTTCAGTTTCAAAGCGATCAGGACAAAAATCAAGAATGCAATAACTTCGCGAAAATAAAACTAATTTGACTAATTACTTGAGTTGCTAGATAAGTCAGGTCTACTGGTATGTTCAGCCATGTTCTAGGCGAATCAGCAACCTCAAAAGAAACTGCGGAGTACTCACTAAAGAATGCACACCCTTGAAACAAATATCTGCAATGGAATTGAATCTGTACTGAAAAAGTTAGCTCTAATTTTGTGCACACAGTATCCCCTGCGCGTGCAGTCACTTTGTTAGGCAATGTTTACCACCAAGTCACCATTCTCTAATCAAACTATTAGCTTATTTGGAATGATTATTTAGCGTCTTTAAAGGGCATGTAAAATCCCTCGTATATGATATATTTGTTAGCTCAAAGAATATCTAAGGCTCCGATGAGATTGGGAAGGAAATACGAAAATAGAAAGCCCTCAGAATGTTGTATAGAATGCAATATGGCCAAAACTATCGGGGCCATCAAGAAAAGCCAATTTTCAGTAATTTTATTCTCTTATATTTATATTCGCTAAGACTTTCCTAGAATACACCGAAAAACTGCATAAGAATCCTCTCTCACATCGTCGGCCACATCACTATAATAGGTCGCTGCTCTCCCGTTATTCGGCTCCATGTACCTTGCGCTAATCGCAAGTATTGTTCAAGATATTCGTTCTCAAATTGCTCATTAAAGTATGATAAAACTCGTACTTTTGAAGTGTTTGTTCGAAACGCAAAGCATATGAATGACGGGAACACGTTTTTCACAGAAAGTTGCTTATACATTGCAAATTGTTTTCACTAACACATCCGAAATTGAGACTTGAAATTAATTTTGCAATGGCAATGGTGGACACTTCGGCTATCCGTCTTAGAGCGAATATTTACTGGTGGTAATGCGAAGTAGATAGTGGAGTAAATTAATTATCATTATACGAATAATAGTTGTGCACAACTGGGTAGTGATTATACTTAAAAAATGTATGGCAGCACTTTGGTCGACACCCTCAAAAATGTAGTCCTAAAAGTACTCTTGGGGATTTTCGGCTGGTCTATATTTTGCACCTTGAAAAGCTCTTTTGACCAACCCCTAAAAGGGTTCTTTTTGAAAAACCTATAAAGGGGGATTTTAAGGTCCTTTTTTTATGTGAAAGAATTATTCATGCCCAGCTGACTTTTAGTGTGCTAGGGAGCGGTAATGCTTAAGCCGAAACCGTTATTCACGAGCTGAAAGAGTTCTTGGGGCGTCGAAGAAACTTTCAAGAACAGATTTTTTTTAGAGTGTAATTGACAAAATGTTCAAAGGCAAAATGCGTTTTTTTCTAAGTCTGTACATTTAGGCAATTGTTTCTAATCATCGAGACTAATACCAAGGCTGATACAACACCAATGGTAGTTGCTATCGTTGCATGATTACTTATGCGAGAAAAGGAGTATAAGGCATCACCTTATACTCATTCGTAATGGTGACACTTCTTTCTGCGGTGGTCGCGGCACTTCTTTCTCGGTCATAAAACGTTTTGCATCTAACGTTTTTTCTATTAAGTCACCGTTGCCAAGCATGTATTTTATGTTGAAAGCATGACCAAACGAAATTGTTTTTATGTCGTTCTATCAGTTCCTACTCATTTCAGTTTAGGTTTGTTTTCTCTTCGATGGCTGATTGCTGTATAAGCGCGCGTGCTCGCTTCTAGGTCACGGTTAGAACAACAAACGATGCAGCCACCAAAGTCTGCAGCGTGACCGGCCACCGAAAATGCACTGATGTCCCCCAACCGTTTTTTCCCCTCGAGCACCTCCGCTAAGTTCGTGCCTCACGTCCATACCAAAAAGATGACACCAGAAGCTTTCTTTCCCCGAAGGATCATTTCCCTGCGCGCCAGGGAGATCACCATCCTCCCAAGACTTGTGTAGCTCTTTGCGGGTCACGCCTGCAGTTTTCTTCCGAGAGCGAATTGAGCGAGGCTGCCATAGGACGTGCAGCATTTCTACGTAAAAAAGAGACCTACGATTCCACAAAAGCATGCCTTTATTGCATCGGCTGGCGAAGCAGAACCGGAAACCACCCGGAGGTGCTTGGCAGACTATGCGGGAATTCCAGGTACTCCCAGCAGCTTTGGTCGCAGTGAGTTTCTGCCACGCTCCGCAGAGCGCCGAGGCTGTGCACGGCGCACTCCACCTGATTACGACACTACCGCCAGACGCGCCCGTTGCGATTCGTTCGTGTTAAGGGTGGCTCTGGTTTAGAAAATGCAATATGCGCCAGGACCAAAAAAAAAAACACGAAAATGTAGGAGCTGGATCTGACTGTACGTTGTATGTCTCATGGCTTTTGTATCATGCTGAGATTTCAGTGGTTTTTGGGTTGTCTTGAAGTGCTACCAGCATTGGCGTGTGCGGCACCTTAGCGTTGGCTATGTGAATAATACAATTTACCTTAACTTTCTCATATATATTTTTAATTATTATGTTGCTATCTACCTTAATACCCTTAATACGCTGCATTGTTTCCACAGTGAGATTAAAATTAACTTCTACTAGCTTTCTTTATCGGCGTCTCTGTAGCATTGACTTTTAATATTTGTTAATGTTCAAATTAAAAATAAAATAAAATTATGTTGGCGCACATGATCAAAGAAAAATACGTTTTTTAGATCAAGACTTTGGCAGTTTTGATATCAAAAAGTGTTTTTTCATGTTCAAAAATATTTGCTGATTAATAAAATTAAAAATATGTATAAAATATATTTAACTGTTTAGGAACATTCTTGTTCGTCTTAACATATATTTTGTATATACAGCTAATTTCGTAATTTTTTCACAGTCTACAGCTCAAGCTAAAATTTAGACGCTTTCAAGCATGCTCCTAAAGATTTTGAATCATGCTGTCAAGCACCCTCTAAATAAGTAAAGTGAGCCAAATGATCACAACTTAAACATTAGATAATCGTTTACTTATGAGCTAGAGAAGCACTTCAGTGTACTTGTTTAGAAATAAAAGAAATGGAGAGTTTTGGTAACAAACCTTTGCTAGCTTGTTAGTAAACCCTTCCACCCTTCACCCTATGCTTCAGGCTGTCCTTAAATGTAAAAATGGGAGCACATTTACATGGCCTTAAGTTACTTTAGTACAAATCATGTCTGCTGGAGCTTGCGGTAGAAATATAAATATAAGCAAAAAATACTTCACAATGCTTACACTAGCTCGACAGAGGTACAAAGACGTTGAAGTGCAAAGTAGCATCAATTAATTATGCCATACTTCCAAAAATACTTTTGATGCAGTTACTTATGATGTACTCTTCAACATGCATAAACGTATATTCCGCTTTTATATATGCTACTGACAGCTTGTGTAAAAAAAAATAGACCTAGAAATCACAAGGGATGGCTGCAGTGTGCGCATTCATTTCACAAACAGAAAGGAATTTCTGCAGAAGGGGCTCAACTTAACGTTTGTTTATCAATGATAATAAAAATTCATGTCAGTTGCAAATCAAGCTCATACATTCTACTCCTTTACAGATTGTTTAGGGGGTTGATAGGTAGAACTATTGTGCTATGCTTATGACCAGGTTTTTGGCAACTTCTGCATCGAGGCTGAGCCAGGAATGTGTTAGAACACAAATTGCTGGTTCTAAAAGAGCCATTCATCGACTGTTCTGCCAAATTATGGACGCCTACCTGAATTGCAGCTGTGTTTAACACATTGTGTAATGAGCTCTGGCAGCATCAGTAAATTTCTCAGAGTTTGTTTGATCTCGTTTATGAAAACGCGGATCCAAAAACACTTTTTTTACAGCAATTTATAAAGCAGTCACACATTTCCTCATGCCGTGAAGTTACCAGTGAACAGCTTCTTTGACCCTGTAGGTTCCGGCGCACTATGTATTGTACGTGTGCAGGCGTATATGTGCGTATAAGCGGAAACGTTACGCAATATAAATAAACACATATTTCTTGTTTTTGAAACGAGTTTATGAAACTGCGCAAATCGCAAACATGTTTATACCCTTCTTCCATCTAAACGAATATGAATAAAACAAATATTATGAATGTTTTCATAATCGGTGGTATGCTTAGACAAATTTAAATGTACATTGTAATCTAGTAAAACTAATTTAGTGAACAATAATTATTTTTGAGAGTTCGAACATTTCAGTTTATTCTGTTCCATAAAATAGCGGCAAGTTTCTCTCACCCTTAAAGATTGTGCCAACGTTTTCTATTGTGCTCGTACGTAGTTAAAATGAATTGACTATTTTAAGAGTGTACTCATGCACACACACAATGACTCAAGGTGAATGTCAAGACATCTAACTTGTCAA